GCAGGAGGCAGCGCTGGACTCTTTCCACTGCAGCCTTGTAGTTGTGCAGGAATGAGACGTCTTCAGCTCTCAGCTCCTCCTCTGTGGCTCTGACTGTGTCTGAAAGAGCTGCTATCTCTCTGCTCAGAGCCTCCATCTTCTCCTTCATCATCCCTCTCTTCTGCTCCTCTTCCTCCCTCAGTGCAGCCAGCCTGGCCTCCTCTTCCTCTGCTAGAAACTGATGAAGCTGCTTAAACTGCTCCCTAATCTGCCTCTCTGTGTGTGTCGGGCCTGGACCTTCAGGTGTTCTGCTGTCTGATCAAACTCCTCCTGAACTTTCTTCCTGAGCTCCAGCTTCTTCTTTAAAGGCTCCAGAGTTTCCTGAAGCTTCTTCTTGTGTTGCTGAGCAGCTTCATCAATGGGTTTAAATCTGTGGCTAATGTGTAAATCTGAATCTCTGCAGACGAGACACATTGGCTGCTGATGGTCCAGACAGAAGAGTGTGAGTTTCGCAGAGTGCAGACTACAGAGATCCTCTGAAGCTCTCTGCTCTCTCTGCTGTAAGAAAGTCTCACACAGATTCTTCAGAGCTAGATTACAGGGTGGTTCAGCTTTAGAAGATCTCCTTTTACAAACTGGACACTCTCTTCCTGGTTTCTCTCTTTCAAAATGAAATTGCCACTGTACCAATTTAAATGAATTAAATAAAAATCTTAAGCTATTCCTCATATTGAGGATAAACATGGTGACAGTTTAAAGAAAACCATCCCTTTAACAGGAAGATGTTCCTAGGCTTCCATTTAACAGGAGGATGTTTCAAAAGAAACTGCACCAATTAGTTACATTGATTAAAAATGAAAGTAAAGCTATTCCTCATATCGAGGATCCAAGTGGAGACAGTGGAAAAGAAAACCTTCCCTTCCCTTTAACAGGAGGACCTTTCAAATTAAAGATGCCACTGCACCACTTATTTACATTGATTAAAAATAAAACTAAGCGAAAGCTACTCCTCATATTGAGGATCCAAATGGTGACAGTGGAAAAAACGACAACTTCCCTTTAACAGGAAGACATTCTAAGGCTTCCCTTTCACAGGAGCGCCTTTCAAAGTAAAGTTCCCACTGTATACATTTAAATTGACGAAATATGAATGATGAAATATGAATATCATATTGAGGATCCACATCGTGACAGTGGAAAAGAAAACCTTCCCTTTATAAGGAAGATTTTTCCAGGCTTCCCTTTAATAGGAGGACATTTTAAAATAAAGATGCCACTGCACCAATTTAAATTTTATTAAAATTGTAAGCTCAAACTATTCCTCATATTGAGTATCCAAATGGTGACAGTGGAAATGAAAACCTTCCCTTTACCAGGAAGACATTCCTTGGCTTCCCTTTAACAGGAGGACCTTTCATAATAAAGTTGCTAATGCAGCAATTTAAATTGATTAAATAAAAAGATTCCACTATTCCTCATATTCAGGACCAACATGGTGACGGTGGAAAAGAAAACCTTCCTTTTAACAGGAAGAGTTTCTAAGGCTTCCCTTTAACAGGAGGACCTTTCATAATGAAGTTGCTAATGCAGCAATTTAAATAGATAAAAATCAAAGAAAGCTCAAGTTATTCCTCATATCGTGGCTCCAAATGGTGACAGTGGAAAAGAAATCCTTTCCTCTAACAGGAAGACTTCCCAAGGCTTCCCTTTAACACAAGGACCTTTCAAAATAAAGTTGCCACTGTACCAATTTAAATTGATTAAATAAAAAGCTTCCACTATTCCTCATATTGAGGATGCACAGAGTGACAGTGGAAAAGAAAACCATCCTTCTAACAGGAAGACTTTCCAAGGCTTCCCTTTAATAGGAGTACCTTTCAAAATAAAGATGTCACTGCACCAATTTCAATTGATTAAAAATCAAAGTATGCTTAAGCTATTCCTCATATTGAGGATCCACACGGTGACAGTGAAATAAAACCATCCCTTTAACAGGAAGTTTCCAAGGATTCACTTTAACAGGAGGACGTTTTAAAATAAAGTTGCCACATCACCAATTCAAATTGAATAAAAATAAAAGTAAGCTTAAGCTACTCCTCATATTGAGGACCCAAGTGTTGATAGTGAAAAAAATCTCCAAAATTGAATGTTTCCAAAATGAAAAAATTCCCTTTAACGTGAAGACCTTCCAAGGCTTCCCTTTAACAGGAGGACCTTTCAAAATAAAGTTCCCAATGCACCAATTTAAATTGAATAAAAAAAAATAAATCAATGTGAGCTTCAGCTATTTCTCATATTGAGGATCAAATGGTGACAGTGGAAAAGAAATCCTTTCCTCTAACAGGAAGACTACCAAAGGCTTCCCTTTAACAGGAAGACCTTTCAAAATAAAGTTGCCATTGTATGAATTTAAAATGATTAAATAAAAAGCTTCCACTATTCCTCATATTGAGGACACACATGGTGACAGTGGAAAAGAAAACCTTCCTTTTAACAGGAAGAGATTCCAAGGCTTCCCTTTAACAGGAAGACCTTTCAAAATAAAGTTCCCAATGCACCAATTTAAATTGAATACTTTTTTTTTTTTAAATCAATGTGAGCGTTAGCTATTCCTCATATTGAGGATCCAAATGGTGACAGTGGAAAAGAAAACCATCCCTCTAACAGGAAGACTTTCCAAGGTCCTTCAACTTAAATTTGAAGGACCTTTCAAATTTAAGTTGCCACTCCACCAGTTCAATTTGAGTAAAAATAAAAGTAAACCCAAGCTATTCCTCATACTGAGGGGCCAAGTGGTGACAGTGAAAAAAAACCCCCAAAATACCTCTTTAACAGGAAATGTTTCCAAAATGAAAACCTTCCCTTTAACAGGAAGACTAAATAAAAGTTAACACTGCACCAGTTACTTATCTTGGTCAAATTAAGTAAGCTTAAGAAATGCACCAGGGGTGCTCAAGTCCAGTCCTTGAGGGTTACCATCCCGCAGCCTACAGACGCATCCCCGCTCCATCACACCACAATCTAGTGAACGGCCCGTTGCCAGGCCTGTTCATAACTGGAGTAACGATGCGTCTCAAAGTTGTAGAACGGTAGCTCTCAAGGACTGGACTTGAGCATCCCTGGTGTCAACATTACCTCTCTGGCCTCCGACCTGCAGCTCCAGGACATCTCTCCGTTGGTCGTCATCCAGGAAAAATGGAATCGCAAGATGAAATCGCAAAAAGGCGTTTTTTTGTTTTTGTTTTTTTTAACCGCAAATATAAAAGTTTTTGTCGCGATTAAATTGTTGGACGTAAATGAAATTCGTCAAGAGTTATTAAACTATGAACCCTATCTTTGATGTATTTAGATTACATTTGAAACATTTTAAGTAGATACAAAAAATAAAAAGAGTATGTTTAAAAGTATGACCTTAGTTTTACCCCAAAACACTTTAAAATATTCTAACAGATAATTATCTTAATGCAGCTGTAATGTATCAATGTAGCCACATGAGATTATCATTAATATTCATTATGCTATGAAGGGCTATTAGTGATATTAAGCCTCAACTTCTCTAAACTGTTTTCGCCAAATCCTTGGCAGCCATATTTCTTTTCTGTCAACCATGAACTTCAGATTCAAACATGATACTTACACCTAAACCTAGTTATAACTCACAACAACTGCTTCAAAAAGCAGCACAAAAACCTCAAAACGGAAGGATTTAAACAGCAGAATCCTTCTCAGCTCACTGACTCTCAGCAGAGTCAAACCAAACCACCGAGCGGCCTAAAGTAGGCCTTCAACCACCGCGTTAGCATCAGCAGCTAGCATCAAACCCGCAACAGCTCCTACCCTGAGATGCCTTCTGGATCCGCCATCGAACAGTTGCTTGACCTAACCTACCTTTGTTGGGTCGGGCGGATCCCCGGGGCAGCTAGAAGCGGTCCTCAGCTTGATTGTAGGTCACTTAAAATATCTTTTATCGATCTGCTGCTAGTTCCACCCGCCATGCTGTCCTCCGAAAGTTCATGGACGCCAATAGCCAAACAAACCACCGCTGAGACGCCATGGTCGATCGGCCGATCCTCTTCTGCTGCCCTGAACACAAAAAATGGTTTCAATAACAACCAAAGTACAAACTAACAACGTTGAATATTGTTTCTGAAAGATAACATACCTCATATTAAACGCAGCGTCTTCAAACATGGCGCTCCTGCGGCAAAATCTAGACCGCGTTTATTTGAAACGGTCACGTGAAAATTCCGTCATATTTCTGTGCATCATCGCGCATGCGCCTCGCGCTCATTTAAAAAAAACTTGATTTGGTGGTTTGCAGCACTTATGTCTATGGTTTCCAGTGCAAACACAATATAAAACCAGCCGAAGTGTAAAATTCAATCCAACCTTAAGACTTTTTTCCATTCATCTGGAACGAGCGATTCGTTTGGGGAGTGTGTATGCAAATTATAAGGTGGACTACAAAGCGGAGCTCAGCCAATTGAAGTGAACTCTTATCAGGTAGGAAGGCAGTGTGAATGCAAGCTGAGAGGAGACGCTCCAAAAGCAGGAAGCTTTCTACAGCGCAGGACGTTCTAGTCAATATATTATTCTTTGCTCTGCGGGTTAACAGAGATGTTATGTTGCTTGGTATGGCAACGAGTCTGCATGCCGACACAGATAGCAAAGAAAAATAAAAAATAAAAATAGTTTAAAGGTTTTTTACATCTGCTTGTCAGCTTATTTCCCCCTTGCTGTGGTCCACTGCATCTGCAGCCGAACATATATTTAATCATCAAATAGAATGACATATTTCATAATGTATATGGGTGACGGTTTGTTACATTCTGACAAACTAATTTTAACAGCAGCATTTATGCAATATTAAATTATTGACCAATATAAAAGAGAAGTTTACCTCATCTTCTCTTGAGTACTTTTCAAAACTTGTACTTTACTTTTACATGAGTAGAACAGTCCAACCCGTACTTTCACTATTATATTTTTTTATACAAGTATCTTCAAGTAGAGAATGTGAGTACTTTTCAACCTCTGACGTAAAGTTTTATTAATCACAAACATCAGTAACCTGAATAGGTGGGTAATTGTTCATCTTTGTGGAGATGTGTGGTAATTACAATCAGAATCCTGGCGGCGTTTGATATGGAATATAAAACAGAAGGAAAAAAGTATTTGAGATCAGAAACTGAAGACATATGAGGAAGAAACTGAATTTATTTCACACTTAATTTAGAACTTAAATGATTCACCATTTAATTAATCCCAATTCGGATTTTGTTTCTCTCTTTATAATAAACACCTCCATTTAAAAACTAAATTTTGTGTTTACTCTTGTTGTCTTTTAACTAATATTTAAATCAGTTTGGTGTTATAAACATGCAAAAACAATGAAATCTGGAACTTTTTTATTGTATGTAAAATATAATTGATATTTATGTACTTTTCTGTTTCCAATATAATACATGTTTATTAAAGGCCAAATAGTGTTTCAGAAAAATCTGAGAGGTAGACATAATTTTTGCTTAAAGATGCTCAAAAACAGAAACAACAACAAAAAATTATCATGGAGTGCAGATAGTTTACACTCTTCACGCCACAAAATGGCGCCTTTCTTGTGTAACGCCAAAGAAGTAAACCAAACCGGAATTGTAAGGCTGTGAGTTTTTACTTTTACTGTATAATTAATAAACATATTCACAGTGATGTCATTTATCAATATAAAAATAATCATAATAAAACATTATTTAGTGTTTAAATGACGCCATTCGTCCAGTTCTCAGTTAGGTATCAAAATAACTACACAAATAACACCAATAATTCAGTCCTATGTCTGCGACTCCTCCGGCTCCTCCGTTATGGTCCGGTACCGCTGCGGCTGGTTCTCCACCAGCACTGAGTCCTTTCTGGCGAACAGGGACGGCCTCCTCTTCAGGCGCAGGAACTTGCGCGAGGTTACCAGATCTCCAAAGCCCTGGGAGTGGGAGAAGGCGTAGCTGGAGCGGCGGGTGCTGACGCGCCGTGGAGGCGGCCGGTAAGGGTCCGGAGCCGGCTGTCCCTCCTCCCGAGCCTTGTGCCTGACCTGGAGAGACGGCTCAGATTTAGCTTAAACCTGGCAAGAACCTTTCAAAGAGCAAATACTAGCAGTTTTACGCTACATAGGGTTCAAGTTAAGAAAATATTTCACATAAATTGTGTTCTCCGGCGCTAGCTTTTTATGAAAACAAAAAAAAAACACTTACACAATGGACAAAATAAAAATGGCGGCCATTTTTTACGATGGTCCAACAGTGTATAGGGGCCATTTTGGATAGAGAAGAACATTTCTACCAAAAGATCTCGTAATTCGCTTAGTAGCGTGAACTTTTTTTAAACATTTGAAATCTTAAAAATTTCCTTGTTTTTTTTTTAAATTTCTGAGATTAATCTCAACATTTGTGAGTTTTTTCTAGCAAGATTTTGAGTTTTCGAGCTCAAAGATTTTCATGTTTTTTCTAAGGAAATTTGAGAGGTTAAAAAATAAACACTTACAGCAACTTTTCAACTTTTCAAACTCAGAAATTTTCTTTATTTTTTGTCAGAATTTACTGGAAGTTTTTTCTATATATTTCTTTGTGTTTAACATGAAAAATTATTTTTTTCCAGAAAAGTTCTAAGCTTAATCTAAAAATTTCAGAATATTTTTCTAGAAAACTTTCACATTGAAAAATTTGACACTTTTTTTTAGATCATTTTTGAAATAATTCTCAAAATTTGTGACTGTTTTGAGAGAAATTTACTCCAATTATTTCTCTGTCCACAACGGGCCTGTTAAGTCATTATACAATGGTCTCCATGGTTCTCCTGGAAAATTAACCTTTGAACTAAAATCATCAATTAGAGATGACTGTGGACAACGTAGTTAGCAAAGATTTAACTAAGGTGTATTTATATATTTGAGCAGATTGGAAATTACAGAGAATCCATCCATCCCAGTTCTCCTTTTTACAGATTATTGCACTTACCTTTTGCTTTCAACAACTGTTCAAACACATCATATGACTTAAATATGTGTCGATAAAGTAAAAAGGCTTCTGATTTTGTTCCTCACCTTATCAGTGATGGTGGGACGAAGCTGCATGCGGAGGAAGCGATAAGCCACTGTCGGCAGGACGCAGAGCAGACAGGTCAGGAACATCGTCAGCCAGACGTTCGGCTGGTTCAAACTGTTCCTCGCTGTGCCTGAAATCCATTTTACAGCAGTTTATTACCACAAACGCAATTTAGACCCATAAAAATGAAAACAAATCAGGTTTATTCCATTAAAAGGAGCAGATTATACAAAAGAAATCATTTAACTTTCAGCCATACATTATTAGTGAAGCCAAAGTCTCAGATTTGGAGGTAATAGTGACATCTAGTGGTTAAAACTCCAACATATTATAAACTGCTGGAGGCAAACTGACCACTTGCTTTTCTTACTACTCTCCAATTTTCTGTTATTTAAACATGTTAACTTTATATTCTCTGTCAGTTTTTCATTTAACTGCACTGAGCCTGATTTATTCCTGTTAAAGGGGAGTTTTTTAAACAGCTTTTTCTTAAGATGTTATAATTTTAGCAATGGAGTTCCACTGGGCACAATTTTAAATATATTTTAAATTATTAATTTGATTTGGGTCGTCACTGTCAAACAACACTTCAAGGATAAGCGGCTTTAAACTTTAGTTATATGGATAGTTGAGCTTCTTCTGGTTGTTGTTTTCTTGCTTGTTATGTGGTGCTAACTGTTAAAAATAAAGTTATTACTTTATGGAAAGAGGTGTACAAATCTATTCCATCAAAAGTTAGTATTTATATTTAAAAATGCAGTAATTTTGTATGCAAGTATAAATTTTAAATATAGTGTGAAGTGACTTTCTTTCATTTCTTATAAAACATTCACTAAATTAAAACTTAAGTACATTTTATTTTGGCACCAAGTATGATAAAAAAAGCTAAATCTACTCACCAATGAAGGGGAAACTGGAGGTGAACGTGAAAAAAAGGCCATTGCTGAAAAAAGTAAATGTGATGGAAAAGTAGGCAGCAATGCTGCCCCATAGGAAGAGTTGATTAATCGCTGTCCAGTAATAGGTGTCAAGAAACATCTGGAAAATAAAAAATAAAATCAGTTTTTTACTCAGTCTTCCTTGGTGATATGCTCAGTAGTTAGGAATCATGTCAATTTAGTTTAATTTGAACAAGGTGGGGCAACTTCACTTGTCTTTTTTCCATAACCAAGCATGACGAAATTCGTACAAAGCTGTCAAATATATAATAAATGACACTAATAGCAGAGAACGTCTTACCTGAGTGCTCACCACAAACAGCAGGCTGGTTTGCGTCAACATGGCGAAGGACTGATAATCCGCTACGTCTTTGCCGTCGCCCCGGACGGAGTCCCGCAAGGCTGCCCATGGGATAAAGAAGAGGACCAGGGAGGTGTAGGTGCTGATTACTACACATCGGACAAAAGTCTTTTTATTGAAAAACGTGTTGAGCTGGCCGGGAGAGTAGAGCTGAGGATATCGGAAACTCCAGCGGTCGTTGACGTCCTGCGAGAGAAAGCAAAAAGAAAAGGTACGGTGTTGGCTAAGGAGTTGGATATATCTCACCATTCCTCTGACTTTTAAATAAAAAATAATAAGATTCCTTCTACCTGGTCAAAGAGGCCCAAGGCAAGAACGGAGGTCGCGGTGTAAACCATGTTATACATGGTGATGAACCAGTCATCATAAACAGTCTGGAACCACAAAAAGATCCGTCAACATCCACACAAAGTGTCTTCATGCAGCTCCAGGACTTTTCACTCACCTGTGCAGAAAAGCCACAGAAGAAACCATACCAAAAGTGCACAAGGGTATAGCTAAAGTTCTTGTAGAAGAAGTATTGCAGGAACTTGCACATGCGAATGTAGGACCAGCGGCCGTGCACCAGCAGGAGGCGCTGGAGGTAACGGAACTGGGCGAAGGAGAAGTCGCTGGAGAGAACAGCTTGCATCCCTTCCTGACCACTGATGCCCACGCCGATATGAGCAGCTAGAAGCAAAACAACAAGATTCTTCACTTGCTTTTCAGTCTGAAGGGCTCACTGGGTCTTTTAGCATCTCCCATTGTTCACTCAAAGCTGAAGAGTTGATTTATGGTTACGTTGTTGAGGGACGTTTTGAAACAGTCATGGAGACGGAGACTCATCTTTCTGCAGAGAGCTTTTAGCCTTTTGACAAACTTTGCAGTTATTTAGTGAAGAATCAGGCAAATATTCCTAATTCCTCACTTTATCCAACAACGCGCTCCTCAAAAGTCTTCATGTTGCCTGTGAATACAAAAACCGGATAATGGAACTGCAGACTGATAGTCTGGAGTTGCTCCTTCAGTTGGTCGATCAAATTCACTCGGATAGCAAAAACTCCTGACCAATCACGCAACACTTTGTACAGAGCGCTGTTGTAACTGTATCAAGAATGAAAAGAAGACACATTCCTGCAACTAAGATGATGCAATTTTCCACTACATGAATCAGAGTAAATTGTGACGCTTCAGTGAAGTATGGGAGAGCCTTTAGTTGGACTTAAGCTCTTATTTGTGATTTTTACCCTTGATCATGCTGACGTCATTGGCTCCGTCTCCTATGGCCAGAGTTATAGCCTGCTTGTACTTCTTGACCAGTTCAACCACCTGGGCCTTCTGCAGCGGCGTGACCCTGCAGCAGATGACCGTCTTGCACATGCATGCCGTCCTCAGCAGCTCCAACTCCAAGTCCTCTTGCAGTGCGTAGGCCTAAAGATTAAGAGTTCACACACTTCTGTTGGCGGTGTAACTCCAGCTGACCCAAAGACTGCATTTTTATTTCTGATTCAGAAAATAACTGAAACCGTTTGCTGCTTAGAACAACTTCTTACCAAGCTGTGTCCGTTTATAATCAGGCCGTATTCTCCGTTTACTTTCTCATCCTCCACAGTCTGGGTCTTCTGGAGCCAAAACAAGCCGGCTCGAGCTTTGATCACCTTCGGCTTCTCTGCTGATCCGGGACACATTTTCCTTCTGGCGCGCCTGGAAATGAGAAAGATAGCAGGAAATCACAACTAAAGCTTATATTTTATGGCTAATTTGTCAGTTTTTATAAAATCATAGCTAAGACAGGGATAAATTATGAGTCATAAAGGGATTTCTTGTGAAAATGCATGTTAGTGGAGTTGGATGGGATGATTGTGTGCAAGAACAGCGACCATGTCCCTGAGGCGTGGTCGGTGTTTCAATATGGTTGAATTTACAGCTTTAGCATTAGCTTCTGCTAAATACCATGTTGGTATAGCACTTTAGCATTAGCTTTAGCTAAACACTGAGTTGGTATAGCACTTTAGCATTAGTTTTAGCTAAACACTGAGTTGGTATAGCACTTTAGCGTTAGCTTATGTGTTTTAGGGTTTTTAACATGTCTGCTTGAGCCGAAAGGCATTTTCTCTTACCTGTCCATTTTGAAGAGAAGCATCTCAAATTAAAGGTTATATTTGTCTTAATTTTCAGTGTAAACTGACATAACGTATAAATCAATTTAAGATCAACATTTATTAGGTGTTACTATTGGTCCAGTAATTACAAAAGGTGCTGTATCTTTGTTTGACTGAATGCAGTAAATGGTTTGCATTTACTGCTGGTTGTATGTAGTAAAAATAATCAGAAAACTGAACAGTAAATAGTTACTGATTGACTCACTGCAGCTCCTCTTTGACCGTGTTAGCTGTGTTAGCAGCCACAACAAAGATCTCCATCTCTTCTCTCAGCATGTTGCTGGAATATCCAATGTTTTCTGCTGTTTCTGTTAGTTAAAATAAACAAATTGCATATTAAAAAAATGATTTGAATTAAATTAAATTGAAAGGTTTGGGTTATAGGGTGCAAACCTTGTTTATCTCCGGTCAGAACCCAGATTTTGATGTCAGCTTTGGCCAGCTGCTCGATGGTGTGAGGGACGCCGTCCTGCAACTTGTCCTCCACAGCTGTGGCTCCCAGCAGCTGGAAGCAGAATTAGCATTTAGCAACTTTAAAGTCCTGATGCTCTTCTTAGACATATTCTGTTATAACGAGAGGTTGTAACAGGGAAGAGTGCAAGAAACTGGACTCAGGACTAATAAAAAGGTAAAAGGCGATTCAAGAAGTGAATAACTGATGAAGACATAAATTATTTAACATTTAAAAATGACAAAGTCAGACGGGACAAAATATGAAATTATGTAAAAACGTAGGTAATTTAAAGACTGAAATAAATCCATCCATCCATCCATCCATCCATCCATCCATCCATCCATCCATCCATCCATCCATCCATCCATCCATCCATCCATCCATCCCCTCCCTGCTGGCTGGTGTGATTAGCAGCTTTGCTCTAACCATCAGGTCCGTTTCGATCTCTTCATAGAGAACATCCAGTCTGTCCTCGCGGCCCTCGATGGCCGTGCTGGCCTCATGGTGGCGCTCCAGCCAGCGCTCCATGTAGCTCTCCTCCAAGTCTTTGTAGGCCAGAGCCAGAGTGCGAAGCCCGTCGCCTGCATACTCCTAGTTTGAACATTTCAGAGCCGTTAAAGCATTTCTCCTTCCAGAGGAAAGTCGGTCGGTTGGTGGTAACGTCTCACGTTCAGGTGTGTGGTGGTGACGTCCCTCAGCTTGGAGCAGGATGGGTGCAGACGCTCGTAGATGATGGTGTCTGCTCCTTTGCAGTAAAGAGTCATCCTGCCCTCAGGGTCACGGACTGGGAGGCAGATTTAAGGAGACAACGTTTGGTAAATACCACGTCCGTCTAACATTAAATCTAACATAATGTTGGGCCTTGTAGGAACCCCTTACAAACCACACATTCTGTGAATCTGTGCTTCTAAAGTTAACAGGTAATATTATTTCTGACAAGATCATTTAAACCTTGCAGTAAAACACACACACACCTACCGATCACTGACATCCTCTTCCTCACGTTGTTGAAGTCCAGAACAGCCAGAAGCTCATATGTAACTTTCCTCCCCATCTCCATGACCGTGATGGTCTCCGGCGTCCGCGAGCGGAAAACAAACCCAAAGTTCCTCGCCGCGGTCACCAGAGCGCCCTCGTCTGGCGACTGAGCCTGATAGTTGAGTTCCCCTAGCAGACGACCCAGAGGACGGAGGGTGTTCATGGAGGCAATAATGATTAAACATGTGTAACATAATTACTTATTATTTGGTCTCTCATTCTGCCCTGGGCAGTTTCCAAACACCTAATCAAAATCTGCCACAGAATCCAACAAAGATGCTAAAACTCAAAGTACTAGTTTAGAAATTCACATTTTGCACATTTTTCATCCATCCGGGACACTTTCATCTTCTAAAAACAGCTAGAGTGCTTAAAAAAACTATTTTTCATTACTCTAAAAAAGCATATTTACAGTTTTGAGGTCTATTATATGTGCAGTGTCAGCTGAAAGTTGCTGCTTGTTGTAAACAACAGATGACTGTCGGACTCTGACCCTCTTTCTTCTCCTCTGACATGACGGTGTGGCACAGAGTCAGCAGGCGGAAGAAGGCCTGGGCCTCCGGGTTTCCTTCCTTCACCGTCTGCAGCAGGCTGTAATCATGGAAGACGAACTTTGGATCTGCCAGCTGGTTCCAGGAGAAGTCCACTCTCTCCGTGTTCTGCAAAGGACATTGATTACTCAGCACATCTCTGAGGCCAGAGCAGTTTATCAACACAAGTTGATCAATGGGAAGTTTGTTGAACTGCAAATCATTGTTTTACTTTCCTTCAGTGGTGGAGAAAATCCGTTAATCTGCTAATTTTTTGTTTGCCAATTTTGCAAACTTTGAAAATATTTAGGTCAGTTAGCTTCCTTTAAATTAATTTGTCTGGATTCATTTTAAACTGCTAAATTACCTTGTTGTTGTGTAAAGTGTCAATTGACACATGGTTTGTATCAACATTGCAGATCTTAGCATTTCTGTGCTTTTACCATTAGCTTCTGCTAAATACCATGTTAGTTTAGCTATTTAGTGTCAGCAGAACTAATGATGAGATGTGTTTTTTCCTCTGATTTCTTCGTTACCATTAGCAGAACTAATAAATTCATCTGAGATTCACTCTGTGAACACAAGGTGTCGCCTGTTGAAGCTGCTTTACCTCCGTTATCTCAATCCTTTGGCCAGAGAAGTCATACAGCTCACCTGAATAAGAGAGAAATGTATTTCACAATCAACTCATTGTCAAAATTCAAAGACTGAAGCAGCTGGCCGAGGGGCATTCATATTTCTAAACCACCTGAACCGACTCCTTGCGATAAGAAGAATATCTATTGTACTGATGTGAAATGCAAAGTCAGCACAACAGAACAACATTTCTAGTATTAATTATTAATAGTATTACTTTACAACTTCAGGCAGCCAATGGGTTGTTCACCTGAACACTGAACATGAGTCAAGGACTGATTCTACTTCTTTACTATCCAACAAATGGTTTCTAGAAAGTACCTATTCCCTTAAAACTTCTCACTGAATGTAACAAACTACAAAAATAAGAACCTGCTCTCCTCATTGGAAAAACTGTAGGAATCTCATCAGGTGTCCGATTCCTACCGTAGTTTCTCTTTCACTTGTTCTGATTTCTGTGTCAGAGTGTCTTGTCGCTTCTTCTAGATGTACTTGATCTGACCCAGCTCCTCGTTGAGTGTGGTGGTCCTCGCCTGAGCCGGAGTGTCTTTCTTCGGATAGTACATCTTCCTGTCCCAGTCTATGAAGAAGCTGTTCCCGAGGCGGATCATCTCCACGCTGATGAGAAAATCCAAACAAAACACTGAGTCTCAACCTAGCACCGTGGCTACTCCTGCTAACGCTATCGTCTTCACGTACCTGACGTAGAGAGAAATGGGCACCACCGTGTTGAGGACGATGACGTAGGACCAGAAGGCGTAGAAGGACGATAGGGGAATGTCGACGCCTGGTTGGCGGGGAAGAAACGCCGTGAAGGTCGAGCCCTCATTCACCTCCCAGATGGTGTGGCCAACCGTCATGATGGCACAAATAGTTGCCAGGAAGCCAAAGATCTAACAAAAATGGAGAAATCTGTTTAATCAATCGTCTAAAAGGAATGAACACACTTCTGCAATTGTCTTAGAGCTTTCACTGTGATACAAAACATTTAGCACACTTCCCATAAATTAGTTTCTTTGGATAAATTATAAAGCTTAATTTATTTGACTGTTCAGTAAACCTTCTGTCAACATGATGGGCACTGATGGCAACACTCACCACATTATTGCTTTTGCACAAGCTTTCTCTGATTTAGCTGGTTTAGCACATTAGTGTTAGCGGAACTGTAGCTTTAGGGTTAGCACAGCTGACTTTTCAGTTAGCCGTGCCCTGCACTGTCTTTATTATAAAATGTTTTAAATTGCAGTTGCTTGAACTCACACATAACACCAGGATGTTCATCAGCTGATCGATGTTGGTCCGTTTAAATGTGTTTCTCCCGCCGTTCTGCATGAGCTTGGTATCAGGACCTGCAATGAATCAGACAAGAAAAACTCCTAGGCGTCTAGTCTACAAGGAAATTACTCATGAAGACCATTTCAAACTAACTCTCTGCAGCTATCGAAGCGGCTGCTGGTCTCATTCTTACCTGTGTAGATGACCAAACCGAAGCACCACTCTGTGTTCCTCACAGTGCATCCTCTGAGCAGGATCTTATCGTTGTCCAGCCCGTGTTGCTGCCCGTCCACAGTCAGAGTCCCTTTGAATTTATCCAGATGGTTGTTTGGAGGCTCACATCGAACTTCACCTGAAAAACAGACATTAGCATCCGGGTGTTTACAAAAAGCCTTTTCTTTCTCATAGTCTGACGTTAAAGATAACTCATTATGCTTCCTTGAACGGTTTAATACAGATTTAGAGGGGATACAAAACAGTCATTCTTAGATAGTGAAATTTTAGTAAAACATGCTGGAAGTCTGTTTGGGTTTCTAGGTAATGGCGCAGTGCCTGTGGAAGTAACTCAACAATCGAGAGTTTTTTGAAACAACTAAAAACATTCATTTGTTGGCAAAAAGCAGCTGAGTGTTTTTTAGAAGCGGAAAGACACAAATGGAAGAACAAAAATGTTCAAAATGTGAATTTTCTATAACTGGTCGCCTTTAAATCAGTCTAATTATTTCCTTTCCAAGATGTTTTTTTAAACTTTATGTTCTATTTGGTGGAATTTCCTTTTAAGCAGTAAATCGTCCTCATGATGGCAGCTAATTTTTTTAAAAGCACCAGTCCCTCCTTAAGTCATCCATGATTCTGTTCTCAGGTTTTCTTCCATCTTTTGTCTAATTTCCAGTCAGATAGTGATGAAAAGAACAGGTTAAATGTCTTTTTGTACTGTCAATATCTGGTTTTAGCTGAATGTGATCAGGAATAGGTTTGGGTGAACTTGTTACCTGTGAAGGCAGACAGATCGTCGATGTTTTCTCCCATCTCCCCGGTGACGGTCAAAGCCTGTTTCACCTTCAGGTTGGTTTCCCTGAGGGACACCAGGAAGACGTAAGATGGAAAGTTTAGCCGCGTGTTCAGGCGTTTCTGGATCCGCACTCACCCGTCTAACTCGGCTGTTTCCACATAAATCAGGTTGAGAGGTTCGCTGCTGGACAGAAGCAGCAGGTCGGCCTGAAAGCAACATCGGGTCAGGAAAAGTTACTTCGGCTTTCACAAAGTTTACATAAAAAATTTACGCATTTTCCCTTTAAGAAGTCCAAACTTACTGGAACAAACTGGTTGCTCTCCAGTTTGATGATATCTCCAACCTGGATGTTCATCCATTTTTCTTCTCTCAGCCTGGAAAGAAAAACCTCTAAATCATCTGGCTGGATAATAAAAACTCGTCAGCTGTTTTTATTCATAAAATCTTGGAAGCAGTGACTCACTCTCCGTGGATCAGGACTTTCACCTTGCGGTTATTCACCTGCTTGTCCTGTTTGTGTCTGTTCTGCTCATTTCACATAAAAAAGACAGAAAAAATTGTTTTCTCATGTTTGATTTCAGTAGCTGGCACCGATTCCTGTATAAACAGTCAGTTTTTATCCTCACTATGTCATCGTTAGCATCTTTGACCCCCGATACGGAAAGCACGATGAGCAGCGGCACAGCCGTCGTGAACCAGGGAACAGCAGAGATTTGTGGGATTAGCTGTCAAACGACACGAATCACAACATTTTCAAAACGAAAAGTCTTAAAATTTACACAGAATTCAGCAAAAATAGAAATTACCCTGTCAGAAATAAATTTAAAGCCAGAGAAAACATTATAAACTGAAAACAATGAGTGTAATGTTGTACCTGGAGGATGAGGAGGAAGAGGAAGTAGGCGTTGGCGAGCCTGCTGAACTGTTCAAAGAGGTTCAGAGGCAGGAAGGAGAAAAGGTTGTATTTGGACGTTTTGATGGCATTTTTCTGGGGAACAGAAAGAATAAAAAAATCTTTAAAAATATGGTGTTTTCCAAATCAAATGTGGAAGAAAGTTTTTTTAAAAATCACCCCAACTTAATGTAAAGGTAATTAATAAACATGTCATGTATCCCATAATGCATCTCTAAACCATCAAACATGACAGAAAAATGTTACATTTCCTTCTTCTATATTAATTTCTTTTCTGAGCATCATGTTAGAATACTTCAACAGGAAGCATTTTATTTTGAAAGGCTGAGGATGTTAAATTGTAGAGCTGCTTTAGAGAAGCTAATATCACAGTAAAACGATATGTGTCATTTTTAAAGTGGATCATATTGAGATTTACTGCTTTTTTTCTAAACAGAAACTAGAATATTTGTATTTAATTTTTCAAATAAGTTTTTGTCAATGTAATTAGCTTAACAGCGAAGCTAAAATTAGCCGTGCTAATGTTTGTAAACATATAGTGTTTGAAAATTCATCTGTTTTATATTCTAATAATCGTTATTATTATGCATCAAAGATGATGTCAAACCAAGATGACATGAACTTTGCTTGTTTTTGTATTATATGTGACTAATTACATATTTGCATGTTTTGCCACAAGCAGGACAAAGTCCACACACTCTTATAACTCACACCAAACATAAACACACTTTTAATCTGGACACATGTTCTCAAACATGAGCCCAAAATGCAATAACGCCTGGTGACATTTTAGAATGAGTATTAATACTTACATTTTCAAAACATGATTGATAATTTATTACTTTAGAGTTTTTATTTTTCTAGTTGATATTCCAACCAGTGACAAAAAGCTCTGTAATAAACAATTATTGTAACATTTGAATTAGGGTTATCTTTTTAGTTCATTGAATTGTGGCAGTTTTAGCTTTTTTTATTAAAAAGATGACCATCCAGCATGTATGGAAAGCCAAAAGTGCCACAATTCATTACATTAAAAAGACAAGATTTACAATTATCTGTGTGAAATGTTTAAGAAAACATTACAGGCATCCAATAAATCAATTGTTATATTAAAAAATTGTTAGATATGACTTAAGCATGAGATCCATGAGCTTTATCTAATATTATTTGTCTCTTTCCACTTCCAACAGTAGCCAAAACCAGGAGCAGCAGTAGAAAGTGTCCCTGGTTCAGCGCGTACTTACAGCGTATTGCCAGGTCTGGTTGAAAGCTCGGTCATTCGCTCGCAGGCGTCTCTCCTCCTCTGGGAGAGATGGAGGTGAAAAGTGGAACCAGAGAGGAAAAAGCTTCCAGACATGTCATGAAGTTTGTCTCTGTCAGATCTCACCTTTCTGCTTCTCCCCTCCACACGACTTTCTACAGAACGACACGACCGATCCCATCGTTAGCTCCGTTCGTCCATCGTCACACCTGAATCACGAGCGCCTGAACAGAGAACCGCCGATTCAGTTCTTGATGCGAAAGGTCGGCATTTTGTTTTATTCTGTCATTTAAAATATCCTTGTGTTTCAGATAGTTCATGATGTAAAATCAGAGAAGAGAAACAAGCCGCCACCTTTTTCTAATCACACAATTGCTGTCTAATGTTTGTGCTGCTAAATGTTTTTGTTTTAAAGATTTTAATAAAAGTTTAAAGGTCAAAAGTTCAACCAGCCACCACACTTTAACCAGATCTAACAAAATTGGTGTCAATTTTGAAGATATTTTCTGATTTATGAAGAAATTTATGGAGCGAATTTATCAGAATGAGATGTTTTCCTGTTTTTCCTACTTTGAAGAATCAGTCAGTGTCACATTTAAACCATAGGGAGCCTAAAAGTTAAGATAAAAAACTTACTTTTAAATATTTATACATATATTTATTCTAAATCAGTTATTTAGACTAACAGTTATTTTCCAATTAATCCGAAACAAAAATAATTTGTGAAATTTAACAAATGTTCTCCAATTGAAGGTCAGATTTATAGAAATTATGTTGATACAATAAAATTTATTTTAAGGCCTTTACAACAAATGCCTTAAATTACAATAAATATATAATTTGATTTGAAAGAAAATGTACCGTTCTATATTTGGCTGTTCTTATAAAAGAAATTGTTCATTTTTGGTCCAAGAATAAAATGTTTTTGTAAGGATTATGTAATCACATCCTGGAAAGTCCTTCAGAGTTTATCTTTGCTCTAAAGTTATAAAAACCCGAAACCTCTCCCTTTTTAACAGACATAATCAACAACCAAACACTCTGATCTTTGTTTTATCTGCCAGTTTGATGAAATATAAAATGAAAATAGATTTAAAATGTGTGTATTTTATTACTTCTGAGCAGGAAAGTGCTTCTGAAATGGAGCAGGAAATACATTTCATAACAGCTAATTTGCATGTGATCAAGGAAAGAAAGTTCAGAAGCAGAAAATAGAGAAACATCTGGAATATTAATGTTCAAAATGATCCCAAAGTAGATCTGATAACTTAAAACTCAAATCTACTTGAAAACAACAGATAAAAATGGTGAAATCTTACGGGTTCTGGCGTCTTTCTGCTTCCTGATTGGATGAATGCAGGTTCAGATCCAGATCCAGACTGTGGGTGGGAAACAAAGACGGTCCAAAAGGTTCTGATGATCTTCTGATCCCGGCAGGAAAAGCTGTTCTGGCCCTGAGCAAACAGAGCAGCGATCTTTGGATCTGCATGTAGGAGTCGATACCTGGGCTGTAAAACTACAATAAAGGTGAGCGCAGCCAATCAGAAACCAGCACTGTAGTTATTAGTGGCACAGCCAGCGGTTAACACACACACACCCAGTGGTGTGTTCACACACACTCTGCAGAACTTTGTGTTCATCAGGAGGTCGATTGTTTCAGGTTTGAGCTAAAACAGAAGCAGCAGCACTTCCTCTACAGGAGAAAACACACGAGGTCATGAGGTCAAGCTTTGTGACAGTAAATAAAACACATGAATAATCTCTTGGTTTGCTGAATTATAATAAAACATGATATTTATGTTATGAACAATGAAATAATTTTAGCTTGGATTGGCTCTGAAACATCATAAATCACTGATTCATTATAAAAACTTTGACTAGACTCAGAGTAGACTTATGGAAATATACATGATGAAGTATTTAAATTCAGCATTTCACTGAAAAAGTAATTAAAGTGTAGATACAGGGATAAAGATTAGCATGCTAACCCCTCAGGTTTCCCATCAGCCACTTGGGTTTCAGGATGACCAACATTTTTCAAGATGGCTGCTAATTTTGAGCCTTTTAAACCATTTATGGACATTAAATGTTCCCGTTTTTATGACATGGATGAACTTTAGGTTCCTTTATGTGTTTTTAACTTTGGTTTACATTTATACAACTTTAAAATAATAATATGTAGCACAATAAGAAACTGATATTTTGTAATTTAGTGTTAGCTTCTGGCAATTCCTGTGTTTATCGTTAGCTTCTGCCAATTTTTAAAGTATTTGATAATTTAGTATTATCAGTCTTATTTTTTGATGTGTTTAATGGTTAAGTGTCAACATCCACTGATTTTTAATGTTTAGCCATTTTTGTTGTCTTCCACCAGTTTTGTAATGTGTTTTGTGGCTTAGCAATATATTTTAATGTGTTATTGCTTTAATAATAACGTGTTTCAATATTTTACGTGTCTAACAGTTTGGCATTAGCTCAACTAAAGTCCTTGTTTTCACATTAGTGGTTAGTGAAACTAACATTTTGCTTAGCTGCTGCTACCTTTGGTAATACCTACAGCAAATTTTATTACAAACATACATTCTTCATTGAGTTTGGCGGCCATTTTGAAAACTGTCCACCAGAAAAAGGAAATACAAGATCAAAAAATTATATTGGGTTTCTATGTTTCAGGTTCTGTAGGCAGTGATTTGACACCAAACACTTTAATCTAACTCACAATTTTAGTGCACAAACTATATTCTTCATCACAACCACAGTGGCTATTTTGAAGAACAAAAAAATGTATCAAGAATCAAAAAGTATTCATATGTGATAAATATTTATGTATTGAAAACAAAAATAAAATTTTCTTAATAACCATTATGAAAAATGGCGGTCATTTTCTCAGTTTTTCTTCCAATACAACTGGTAACATATGTGCCAAGTTATGTTCTTGCATCTGCTTGTGAAACATTTTGCTGAAATAATCAATTAGCTGCTGCACTATGTCCACATTTTCTCATTTTACACCAGAACTTGGCTTATTGATGAGTTAAACACAGGTTTATTTCTGATTATCAGTAGTTACATAATAGAATCAGACTTTGATTCAAGTCAGCTTCATAATTTCTCTTTTATGCTTGGGGACAAGTCCCAATCTCATTAAAAAATCTGTAATGTCAAGGAATAAACTAAATCTTTGATTTTTTTTTGCGGAAGAATGATTATTTAACTGAAAGGAAAAATGAATAATCTATCATTAATGTGATTATTACAATGGATCCCCACCGATTTGCATTCAGGAAGAATAGGAGCACAGAGGATGCAGTCTCCATAGCACTACTCTCTGTCCTTTCACCTGGACAGCAAGAACACTTATGCCAGAATGCTGTTCTTAGACTTTAGTTCAGCATTTACCACTGTCATTCCATCACAACTCATTGCCAAACTCACAGACCTCGGCATCAGTTCACTCATGTGCAACTGGTTGCTCGACTTCCTGACCAGTCGACCCCAACACGTCCGGCTGGACTTCTCATCCACCATCATCATAAACACCGGAGTGCCACAAGGCTGTGTGATGAGTCCCTTCCTCTACTCTCTCTTCACCCACGATTGCAGACCTGGCCATGGCTCTAATGCCATCATCAAGTTTGCAGATGACATCACGGTGATCGGCCTCATCAGAGACAATGATGAGGCCGCCTACAGGGAGGAGGTGGACCGTCTGGCTGAGTGGTGCGACAAGAACTACCTGCAGCTGAACACCAAGAAGACCAAGGAGCTCATCGTGGACTTCAGGAGGAACGCTGACCTGCACCCACCCATCCACATCAAGGGAATAGCGGTGGAGCGTGTGAACAGCTTTAAGTTCCTGGGCGTCCACATCTCCGAGGACCTGACCTGGACAACCAAACTGCTCCAAACTCGTCAAGAAGGCGCACCAAGCGCCTCTTCTTCATGAGGACCTTGAGGAAGAACCACCTGTCCTCAGTGATGCTCACCAATAGCATCACAGTTTGGTACGGGAACTGCTCTGTCTCCGACCGGAAGGTGCTGAAGAGGGTGGTGAAAACTGCCCAGCAAATCGCCGGGGCATCGCTCCCTGCCATCAATGACATCTACAGGAAGCTGTGTCTGAATAGGGCCTGGAAAATCACCAAGGACTTCACTCACCCTGCACACACGCTCTTCTCTCTCCTGCCCTCTGGGAGGCGTTACAGAAGCCTACGGACCAGAACCACCAGGCACCAGAACAGCTTCTTCCCCACAGCTGTCATGCTCCTGAACGCCTCCTGACAAACTATAAGGACTGTAACCTCCCCATCTCCAGACTGTTTCCCTCACATACACGATCTGTATCCAATCTTTATATAATCTGTAAATCTAATTTGCCATTATTTATCCTGTATTATAAGACAACTAATATATTGTTGGATAAATTGTGACAAATAACAAATATTTGTTATCAATCAAATATTTGTTATTCTCATGTATCTTTATAGGGTATCTTTTCTTATATGCTTTTATTGTTTAATTTCATCTTAGCATTAAGAATGATTTTGTATTGTTGAATTACTCTGATTCTCAGAAGGCCTCACTGAAAGAAATCAGTGACATCAGGTTTCTGTAGGGTTATCTCTCCGTGGGAAGCAAGGCCTCTTTGACCGGCTAGATTACTATAAAACTGACTGTGAAGATGTACAACTTGCTCTGTTTAACCCTGTGTCTGGAACGAGACTATCTAGTGCAAGATACCTTGTGTTTTAGTTAGTGATTGTCATTGGTGGTGTCACTACATGATGAAGTGTTTTCCCCTCCCTTTAGAGTTACAGTGTTTCTTTGTGATTAGGAATCCTGAAAACAATAAAAAGAGAGGAGCAGGCAAATGTGTTTTCAGAGCAGCAGAAGATTGTAACTGAAAGCACATGACTGTCTGTTCTCCTCGTGAGTAAGAAAGAATCTAACTCTCTTGTCTTTCCTGTGTTTGTTTAATAGGTGTTGAACCTGACATATATATACAATCCATTCTTAACATTCATGTATATTCTGTATAATCTCTGTAAATCATATATGTACATAGCTCTCATATGTATATTTATACAAAACATTTTATTTTATTTTATTTTACTTTATAGCACATCACTATTACTCTCTGATTATACACCATATCTTTGTACACCTGTATATAAATATTTATATCCTGTGTAGCATTTCTGGATAGATGCAAACTACATTTGTTGCTTTGTATTTGTGACAGTGCATTGACAATAAAGTTGAATTCTATTCTAATGGTGAAGTATGAAACTTAAAATTTTACAGAATATTCTTAGAAAATCATCAAGAAATTGAATTTATTTTGATAATTTAAGAAATAAAAATTATTTTTTAGAGAAATTACACAATGAGTGATTAAATATAATTAATTAAATTGATTATGATGATTATTGGGTACAGCTAGTGAAAACCCTTCATTCATTAAACATGTTCGTGTCACATAAAACTGAAATGTACGTTCAATTGAATTAATCTAAAGATGATTGGTCTAAAAAATCAATAACAATTAATTGACAAACAGCATCTTTATTAAAAACTGTTTTCTCTTGTATAAAGAGAGCTAATCATCTTTTCAGAACATGAAGGACTAAATATTTAACATGATGAATTAAAAAAAATTCAACCAGCACATTAAATTTGTACTTTCCTTTTGTGTAAATGTACTGAATACAGATTGAATTAATATAAAACAGAACCACAAAAAGTCTCTCATCCCAAACTTGGCTCTGTTTTCACCAGAGACTCAAATGTAGCCCAGGTGTAAATTCAAACTGGAAGACTCTTTAGCCCCACCTGCATCATCTAATCGGCGCATCCCGCTAATCACTGACGATCAATCATCACTGCACTAAGCCATGTCGCAGCCAATCACCGACCATGCCCCAGTTGATAAGGACGTCCATCCAAGGCGTCTTCCGTTTCGCTGCTGCACTCAACACACCTCCAACCCTTCTCCCTCTCCACTGTCCTGGCTCCCAGGCATACCTGATTCACTGACCTCCACCACCAGTATCGGGTCCCGGGGGATGACATTCCTATCAGCATCGGAAATGCTCATTCGAGCTCATCGCAATTAAATAAATGTCCTTAGCCGGGGCCCGAGCGCCAAAGACTTAATTTATGCATGTCAATAAACTTTTCTAATCGCTTTCTTTCTGTGTCCGAGTCTCTCCAGATTGCATTAAGAGTAGAACCTGCATTAGCTGCTCAGCTGCAGCCTGCAGTCAGCAGTAAATAAAATTAGATTCAGTTTTGCTATCAATGTAAATGTAAAATATTGCAGGGATGCATCAATCAGACCTTTTCTGTCCAACACTGATCTCCAGTTTTCATTTTGCTCTGATCTTCCAGTTCCTGGAATTTTTTCTCCAAAGAAAAAAAATGTTCTGCAGGTTCTGAGTTTCAGGTAGAAGTTCTGAATGAAAGAGAAAATATTAAGATTTCCTTCATTTTATGATTCAAAGCCTGGTCATT